AAATGGGCATCCCGTCTTTGACTTTGATGGGTCATCGCTAAATTGATGTTGTGTTCCCGGATTTTTCTGGAGACTTTTCTGTAACTGAAAATCGTCACCGCCAGGGGAAGAAGGAAAAACAAGCCAACGACCACAAAATAATGAAGTATTTTGCTAGATGCAGCCAGATGTTGGTTCAAGCACGAAGCATAATCCGGCACAAATTGAAAGCCTTGTAGACCAGCCAAGCGAGAGAACAGGATGTAACCAGCAATTAAACCCCATACAAAGGCCAGCACGAGGCGGGATTTTATTGGGGAGAAGAACCGTTTATACTCCATATCTGACTTGCATATTCTCATGTATCTGTTAACTGCTGTCAAACCCATCGTCACGGGTGAAACGTACACAACAAATAGGCTGAAAAAGGCGTTTATCTGGCAAAGTACTTTACCAAAGGGCCATCTTCCTGAAATGAGCACTCCGGCTGCAAACGGCATGACGAAAATGGCGCTCAAAAGATCGCTGATAGCCAACGCGATGATGTAAATGTTAGTGGTAGAACGTAGTCTTGTATTCCTGTAAACGGCTATACACACCATGATGTTTCCTCCCAGCGAAAAAATGTTCAGTGCAGTCATAAAGCCGGACTCCACGATGGTCAAAGCTACACTGCGTGATGGTAGATCGGCCATTTTATTTGGAGTGTTATCGTTGTTGCTGCAACTTTTGCTTTTCTTCTTATATTGCAGTTGATGAGACGAAAGTTTATCCTAAGCTGGCTTCTAATGTGCTTGGGTGAATTGAAAGTATGTTGGTTCCCACCAATTTTTGAGGAAATCTTCGTTCAATTGGTTTTCCAAAATGAAAGGTGTTGATTACAGCTGTAAATCAAAAAAGGGAGGGCCTCCTATTAATCATATCTTTTCGAATTCTCGGACAGCTGGAGGAGCGTTTGACTCACCGGTGATGTTCAACATGATAAACTTTAAGATTTCGGTATTGTTATTCACCCGTGTCACGTTCTCAATTAAATTAATCATCACATGGGCACAAAACCAAACAGAACCAAGGAATTTATCGGCAGGAGCCACTGATCCTTCAAAGTAAAACAGGTGACCAAACGTGGATTGCTTTTAGCTTGTCTCTGTCCATTAAGACGTTGGCGCAAGTTTTCTAGACCATTCTTAGGGAGCGATGAAGTAAAACAATGCAATATTAGACCGAATACTTTCGACGCTTTCTAGAAAAAAGTGTACTTTCCTTTTTGTAGCCAGCAGTGTCTCTAGCTTTGGACATTCAATATGGTTATTATACAAGAAAGTAAGGTATTCGATTTTATTTGGACGTGGAGAAGATGGTTTTTCATTGTTATTTTGTAAATATTTTGATCTTTCTTATTGTTGGTGAAAAAAGTAACTAAGCATCATCCCACAAAGAATTGGATAAACTACATGGTGAGAACCATTTTAAGTAAAAAGCATGAACAGCAGATTTTTCTTTCCCTTTCGCTTCAAAAAATTCACGCTATTAATGTCAATTCTGGTCATATTCATAACACGCAATGTTTACAACAGGTGAACATATCTGTCATTAATTCTGCGACAGACGATCAAATGGCAGAAAGTGATTCGTGTTAAGTTGTTGATGATAAATTATTGTATCAAGGAACGAAAAGAAGGAATGGGAAAAAAAAAAGAAAAAAAAAAAAAAAAGGAATGACACCTCCACGTCTAACACTTTTGACTGAGAACATCCCGTGGGAGCCCAAGTCAACTCTGTACTGCACATGCGTGATTGAAGATCGAGAGTTTTCGCCACGGATTTTAATTTTCATCCACTGCCTCAGTTGACATAACATATCGGTCAGCATCTTTTCGCAATTCTGGAGATACCAATGTATGTTAGTTCAAATCAAATATTAGTCAGACTCTTTAAAGGGCAAGGGGATACCTTCATAAGGACTAATTGGAAAATTAAGAAAAGGAAGCCTCATTTTGAATATAACATCTTCTTTAACCTTTTTGACAACCGGCGAGATGTATATCTTATCTGTGTTCTTGATGTTTTTTATGATGATGGCCTTTATGTGATGAAGGCGATAAATGCGCACTAATTAAGCGAATCCAGTGAAGGAAACAACGGATGTGAAAACGTCGTGCAACAGTTGGCGATTTTTGAATTTTTCGAAAGAAAAGCAATTGCGCGGATATTTTAAATCAATGCTTTTGGCGCTTTCTACTCTGTCTCGGAAGTTATGATCCATCAAATGTTTTTGGTTGCCCACAATTGCTCGAAACGTATCACATGATGATGGAATATGCCCCGGCTAAACCAGTGAAGAATAAGCAGAAAATAAACCCCTTTAGACGAGGCAGCTGAAATATTGTCCGGAAAATGAATATTTGGTCGAGAAGCGAAGCCTCGAGGGAAAATATGAAATTTTTAGGACAATATCTCAGCCAGGGGCATTATCAGCCGATATACCAGCAAATCAGATGTTACTTATTTATTTTATAACCCTTCCATTAAATTTCGTATCGCACGTTGACTAAAATTTTGTACTAATGTTTTTTAGTTTCCGGGGTAGCATTCAAGATTAGCTTTTTAATGTCACTACCTGTGGACTCTAGAAAACGAATTCGTTCTTCTTCCATGCAAAGTAACAAAGATTTAAAAATAAAACTCTTGTGCTGGCTTTTCCGCTGGCCTTGTTTTCTTTCGTCAAACTGAATCTCTTTCTATATTTTCGATCTGGGAAAGGGATAAAAATTTTTACTTCATTTGCTCACTTGGGATCATCGAACGCTTGTATGCGCGGTTAAGATAAAACTATACTATAAACCTTACGAAGAGTTATTCACACGCATTTTTAAAACGGATAACGGCCTCCTTCTACAACAAATTTTGCACTATAAGTCCTGTTTATTATGCTTTCCTGTTAGTAGCCCACCAACTTAGTTGGTGTTGGCTGTTAGTAGCCTACGGCATTAAGGTCACGAGATTAAAGGGAATGATAACCCATTAAAGAAGCTCTGGATTGTTAAACACATTCTCCTTGTCAGCACTTTTGAAAATGCATAGAGAACAGTATGGGGAGTATGCATATTGATGTTAGGGTGTAAAGGATTAATAGTTTCCTTTTTAGTATCAGGTCTATTTCCATCTTCTTACATAAGTTCTGATGCCGATGATTCTATTTTAAAGAGAAATTAAAGTACGGCAAATCCATTCTCACGCTTAAGTTTTTTTGGAGGCAAATACCCTCCTGGCATAAGCCAATAAAATTTTAAATTAAGGCCACGCTTTTCAATTCTTTTCATTCCAATACTGATACTTATTCCTCTTAAATAAGGTAGTCCCGGAGAAGAAAAGAGAAAAGAAAATGGCCTGAAAGGAAGCGAAAAGACCGAAAAATAATAGAACTGACCATTACTTTCATAATTGAATCAAACGCCCAGATTATGGCTACAGGGTCTAAGATATCGATTTTCTAGTCAACTGGTCCTCGTCCTGCATGCGCGTTTTGTGTGAATGACTGCGTGCTTTCCGTCCTTCGAAATTGTCTTCGACAGAACTACCACACGATCAAAGGGAAATCAAACTGGAATGAACCAAGCTATCAAACAGTGTTTAAACTAGAGTAGCTCATACCATCGCGTGTCAAACGGAGACTAGACTGGGGTGGCCCATACTATCACATGATCAAATGGAGATCAAATGGAGATCACGCGGGTCGCGTGTTCCGAACCTTGTGCAAAGCGCACGTCATCTTCTCTGAAAAAGAAGTGACTTCCTATGTACGTAAGTAAACTGACACGGAGGCTTGGTTAACTGATACTAAGTTTGTCGAATGAGAGACGGAAAAAATCAAAAAGCTCTTGTCATATTTAGACTGAAAGCGGTGATTCGGTTGCTCATGGCTAAGTAAGATGTTTTTAGGCAAAAAAAGTTAATGGCACTAACAGGGAATACTACGGTTTCAGTCCTTTATCTAGGGATCCTTTCCATCCAGGTCTTTGAGCTTAAACCTTTTTCGCAGCTATCTAGTAACCTGTTGTTAAAATAATACAAAAAGAGATGCTTTCGCTTTAAAATTTCCTTCCGAAGTTAGATTGACTCTAAATTCGGTACATTGTTGCTCTAACTCTTAAGTTTACACACACACCGAGTCTTTGTCCAGTGAATGAAGTCTTGACCAAGTTTGGCCGATCACATTCCCACAGTGCAGCCACTGAGATTTGAAGTCTGATTGGTCTCAGAAATAAACTCAGAATGGAATTCTGTATGAACGTGAAGTGTACACTCGACTCGTAAACGAATTCTACCATTCCGGTAAGACAGCTTTCCAAATCAAAATTACCGGATAAAAGTCCTGTCGGTGGAAATTTGAATTGGTTTCGACGAGTAAATTCTTGATATTTCACGTTGTTGTACCAACGCTGCTGAAGAGAACTGGGTAGTACTTAATTGAATGAAATACTACTCAGTCTTGGGTTGTTGAAGCATTCCTAGAAATGCCGCAGAAGTAAAGTCCAGTCGGGTAAGGGTTTATTTGTTTCGCCAGGTGAAGCTGATACGACTTTCTCTGTGTTTTTGAAGCAGGTGCAGAAGACCACAGATGGCTACTCGACAGCCTGACATTGATAATTACAAAACACACTCCCATGACAAGCCACTACATGCATAAAAATGTTCCCAGGAACTCCTTCCAGTGACAAATGAGTGCTACATATCCCTAGGCCAATGCTTCCGCTCCATACCCGATTTATGATCCTTGCTTTCGATGAAGTTAAAGAAAAATACTTTGTTTCAACTGATCAGTTTGTGTATCGTGTATTTAATTTCACCTTGCGAATTCAAACCCTTTAGAACCATTGTCAGCTGGACCCCTAAAAAATACAAGTGCACGTGGTAAGACATTTACATCTTCTCACGGTAGATTAAGACCCCTTCAAATGTTTTATTGAGTGAGAAAGTTAAAGCTATCGATATGCACCAATAACAGACGCCACAAAAAATGTTACCTGCAGTTAACAGGACAAGTCGATCGCTATCGTGTTTAGTTATCATGCTTTGGTTTTCTTCACGGTTGCGTGCTCATGCCTTCGCCGGAAAAAGCAAGGAAGCACAGTACCGCTCACATATACTGTAGCATCACACGCGCGTCAAACGCGTCTAATTCCCACGAACTAATTGTGTTAACGATAATCGCAAGAAACGATTAATAAAAATCGGAAAAAAAACCTCTTGTTTAACCATGGCTCTATGACCTTTTGATTTAGATTTGGGATTAGAACCAACCCACATTTTGGGTTTTAGGAAGCCTGTCCATAGTCACAGTCTGTTTTTGTTTTTGCTTTCGTGAGGTTATGGGCCTCGTTTGTTAAATTGTTTTTATTTGTTTTTATTTTTTTCCTTAAAGCGCACATTTTTCTGCAAACTAAAATCTAACACCTTTACATATTTGTCATATGGAACGCTGGTTTAGTCATTATCATAGATGTCATTAAACATAGATTGCACTCGATACGATCGCGGAATTAGATGGACCTATAGGGATGTTAGGTGTGGGGCACAAATTTATGAGTTACATGTAGCATTAAATGAAGACAACCTCCTCACTCTGATCATGTGATTTATGTTACAACACAGATGCACAACAGTATTTCTGTGGCAATTGGTGAATATATAATGCCTTTTAAGAAAAAAGATAATGCCTTTTAAGACTTAAAAAGCTTTCACGTTTTAAAGTTTCCACCCAAGAGTACTTTGCTTCCAAGCAAGTCGAGCGTACTTTGGATTTATTTTTTAAATAAATTAGAATGGTAGCCAACGTTGTTTTCCATCTAGGTTTACTGTTGTTATTGTGTTGGTGGTGGTAATAATAAATAATAATGATAATAATAATAATGATAATAATAATAATGATAATAATAATAATGATAATAATAATAATGATAGTAATAATAATGATAATAATAATAACGATGATATTATAATAATATTAATAATAATAGTAACAATAAAAATAATAACAATAATAATAATAACAATAATAATAATAATAATAATGATAATACACTCGTGGCCCTCTGCAACCATTGGTGGTGGTGATGCACAGTGTCTATGTGATGAATGACCACACACGAGGAAACAAAATCCCATGGCTAGACTTCATTAGGTCACGTGAGTGAAAAACCAAAACACAGGGTTTTAGCTTATGTGTCAAGTTGTGAGTGCAATAACTTCTCAAGAAATCGCGCCAATGGAAGGGACTACACCATGAAACCAACAACAAAGAATAGTCATAAGGATACGTCCAATTGTATGTTCTGTGCCAATCTTTCCCAAATACACTACAGTTTTAAAGTTTACAATATTGCATAAAAAACAATCTACTCTACCTTGGTAAACGTATGACATTCTCTGGCAGTTTCTGCTCCACTTGTAGTAATTGTGGTCTGACATCACTTCTGTATAATTGAAAGTTAAAGTAACATGTACATTTTTGTTAATTGCAGAACAATAATTGAGGACATTTGTGTTTTCTGCAGGGAGAGAAAACTACAGATACAATCCTATGACAAGAGCAGCATTTGAAACAAATGACAATGGAAAATGTACATTAACCTTGCATTATATGCAGGCATGTCGCTAAGGAGAATTGGGATGCCTGGACCACACTCTTTAGGCAAAGATCTTTCTTCTAGCAAACAACATACTAACTCAGGTCGTGAAAAAGAAAGGATCACAGGAATCTTAATGTATCACATAATGATCAGCCAACAATATTTTGTATTAAGTAAATCAGAGCATGGATGACCTAACTTCATCCCTGGTGTACACATGTACATATGTGAATAAAATCATTGTAAGATGATCTACAGGACTAGTGTAACTTACTCTGAATCATTGTTTTCATCTGTTGCAGATCCCAATATTCGTGCCCTAATAAAATGAAACAATAAAGAATAATAAAATTAACAAGAAAAAATCCATTATTACTATTTACTTATTAGTATGATTGTTCTGGTGATTATGGAGATACACACCCTATGATTGGTCAAGGATTCCATCATATCTTGCTATTATCACCTAACGTGGGGTGATCTTAGCAAGAGCGCTAAATTTCAAAGTGGCTGCATGCCTCACATTTTGTTAGTGTTATTAAGGAAATGATGAATGCAATAAAAAAAATTCAATTTCAAAGAGCACAAAAGATGCTACTAAGATTGGAGTATCACTTTCCAAAACAAAGATACATGTATGAATTAAGTGAACCTGTTAAATTCTACTGTAAACTGGCTCTTAATCGAAACAATTTAAACAGAATAGTTTCAGGATTAAAAGGAAAGCACCTAAACAAATATAATAAAACAATTATTTGCCTCAGGCTCAGTGAATAATATTGTTGAATAATCCCCTTGCCATTGTTGCAGAGATCATTCAACAATATTCAGCATATTTGTTAGACAACTACATCTACACTATGTACCTTTTAACCTTTCACCCCCCAGATCTCATTTGTAATTCTCCTTACTGTTTTCCATACAATTCTTCTAATGTTGGTTTGGAGATTTAGAAATTGGATCAATTGAAAGGCTCAGAGCAAGAACGACCCCTTGATTTTTCGGCCATTTTTGAAAGTGTTCAGAAGTAGTTGAATTTTGGCATGTGGACTTAGTTTTACTCGATATACAATGTTTTGGTTTTTTTTTCACTGGTTTGCGCTTCGTTTTCGAGAAATAATGTATGCAAAAAAACCTTGAATTTCGTAGCGGCTTTCATTGAATGAAGCCGAAAGAAATCCCCTAATTGATATATGTTTTTTTATTCTCATCACTTGTCTCCTTGATATTGCATTAGTATTGCAAAAATAAAATTCCTCAAGGGAATTAAAGGGTTAACCAGGTTTATGATACAACTGCTATATATTGTTTACTTTTATGGATTAAAAGGTTACTAAAAAAACTGTATATATCTAGAACAATTTACACCTGTTCCAGGCTTGTCTCACTTTGAAAAATTTCCTTACCTAGCCTCTGCATATTGTGCTTGTCTCTCTGCTAATGTTTTATGAGCAGGCTTCTCCTTGGAGGATTCCTGATTTTTCAAATTATTTGTTCCACCAGAATCTGGTCGTTTTAATATTCTCAACTACAATATAAAAATTAAAAGAAACAGTACATGAAGTTCAGAATCTGGCAACTTGAAAACACTAAACCACATACAACTTGCACGTTCAAATCTTACCAACATAATGCACAGTACTATACTGGACATACTATACTATCATCCAAACTGGTGGTATCTTGGGCCTGGAAACCCCTGTTTATTCCCCATTTTATTGTTATACAAGTAAGAACGAGGCTAAATGCAATTTACACAAGGATAAAATCACCTCAATACACTGGTGTCACCTAAATTGTGATGAGGAAGGCTACTGGGAATTTTGTAGAGAGAGGCTCTGCAGTTTTACTTAATTTACTCAGCTAATTTGCTTTCTTTGTTTTCATTTTGCTGATGGTTATACTTGACAGTGTACTTGACAAACAATTCCAAGGATAATAATTATCTATAGTACTGATTGTTCCTGGGGTTGTACAATGACACTAGAAGGTGGCATTGCAGAATATTTGTCTCACATGCACAACAGAAAACCTGCTGCATCCTAAATATTTGTGAGTACCCTGTTCCACAAGAGAAAGACGATTCAATAATATATTGTCTAATTGACATTAACCTAATAATTAAATGGAAACAAATAATATTAACAATAATAAAAATGATAACAATCGTGATATTATAATATTTAACTTAAAAGGGCCAGCTCTAAAGCCCTATGGTTCCCCAGTCCTCTTTCAACAATGATCACCAATGCCTCTTTTAATTCTGCTGTTTGATTTAAATAATTTTATTATTTCCATTGCAATTTCCATTTCTTTCATTTTAGGATATTCCGTCATTCCTTGTCTTATTAAATATATTCTACCATTCTGTGGATCCACTGATCCACTGTTCCTCTATTCCATCATTTTGTTGAACAACTCATGGTATTGTGTTTTGCAGAGGCTCCCTTTGCAACTTAGTGGCTCTTTTCAGAATAAGTTGCAGACTCAAGCTGTTTGAATGTTCAGATTGGATCTATTGAGATATTTCTGCATGCCATGGAAAAGTTTTGATTTAAACAATGCCTTGTTGGATGCCACTGTGAAATAGTTTTGATATGTTCATTGCCTTTTGTAGTGTGAGGGCAAAAACTGAAAAGATCAATCTCCTCTTAGTTTGCTGATTTAAATGGTAAAATATTCTCTCTTCAAAGAAAATAATTTTCTTTTTAGTTCCATGATGTGCAGATCATACCTATTACAATATTTCTACAAGGAAAACTTTTGCTGTAAATTACGTGCAATTCTAAAATTATTGTGAGATGTTTATTATCTCCTGCTGTCCTCTGTTGTGTCATGGGAAGAGCTGAAAACATAATTCACTAGTGGCTAGAAGTCAGAAATAAAAAAAGGAGAGAACTCAACTGTGTATCGAGTGCAAATGTTGAACTACTTGATACTAAGATAATTTGAAAAAAAACATTAAGTAGTACCAGGAAACATCAGGTCAAAATTGGGTCAAGATTGAATTTCTACTGTTACATTCACTTACTTGCTCACTCATCTTGACAATGCGCATGTACATATGTGACTAATGGCCTCCTATGGGAGGCACTAGCCACAAAAATAATGTAGTCATCAGTAAGGAGAGCTAGCTTTCTAGTTGAAAGTATACAGGACTATAGTACACAGTATATCATATTAAATGCACGCTTTATCAACTACAATTTTAATTACCTGTGGCTTGTACAGAGTTCGGTTTGTATCTTCTTGCATCAGAATGGATGAACCTGTCTTAGTTTCTTGCTTTCTAAAAGAAATGATGAGCAAGTAGAATTGTTTCTATGATTTACTATCAGTTTCATTTCACTTATGCCAAAAACAAGTCCCCACATAAAGGTCTGATTACACAAACAAAGTTTAACCAATGTTTAACAAAACTGTGATCTAAATTATCTTCAATTCAGCTGAACTTTTTAACTGATCATCTATAATTATGAACAGTATCAAGAGGACCAAACGCTAACAGTGGAAGGGCATTGATTTAATTACATCAAAGAGAAAACCTGAGGTCCACAGCTTCTGTAAAACTGCAGTTTGGGTTAGACTTCATGTAAATAACTGGCCCTACAAGTCTTGAGGTATGTTAAAAAAAAAATCATAATAATTTGAGATAAAATAAAGAAAAAAAAAATTATTGAAGATGTGCAGTTAGAATGATATTCCTATGTCAATATGGGAGAAACCCACTAGGAAAATCTTTGAAAAAGCAATTCTTATGTTTTACTTTTCTCAGTATTAATAAATATCTTCCTTTTTACCATGTGCTATTATTACATTTGTTGTTAAAGGTGTGATCCTGATTCTCTCTCTTACATATGTACTCCTCTTGTTTTATTGACTATGAAAAATTGTAATTTAGTGTAAAAGGACATCTAATTAGCTCGCTATATTATGCCCTTCTCCCTTTTCTTTATTTTTTTGTAATTATTCAAAGGTTGTGATTGTTGAAATGAAGGAAATAATTAAAAAAAAAATGTAGGAGTGATCTTCCTAACTCAATACATGTAAAGCATTCACAAGGCAGCAGCCTGGCACTGGATACCATACAGACATGGTTTTATGATGAAGAAGCTTTTTGAAACGTTTTTCCCCGCGAACACTTATGGACAATTGAGTTTAATTTATAGGGAAAGTTGGAAATAAAATATTACTGTATTTATTTTTATCTTTACAGTACAGTATATGAAAATTGCTTCAATGTCCTTCAATTTAACCACAAAAATACTCACTTGAGACTTTCCTTTATGTTATATACTTTTTTTTATTTAGCTTTGTATTGTGACTCGTCTTACTTTATAGATGTAATTGAAGGTTTCTGGTCCTTTTCTCGTATCTGTTTCTCCCGTTCTTCCATTCGTCTTTCTAATTCCTACAAATGAAATCAGTTGTAAACTCGACCAATAAATTCATTGGCAAATAAAATTATAGGTAAAAACCTGTTTCTCCAAAAGTAGTATTATCATTACTAGATCGACAGAGGTTGGAACACGATGTCATTCCTGGAATCCAGGGGTTAATTACTGGCAGATGTGAAAACTACCTTACAGTTCATTGATACAATTTACGAGAAAAAAACCCTCAAAAAATGGGAGTTTTGACTGGGTAGAAATTTATATGAATTACAAAAGTGAGGGAAATAAACATTATCTGCAGATTATTTACCCCAGAATCTGCCATATCTTCCCAACTGTCCCAGATATCGTCATCTTCTTCTTCTGCCGCCATTTTGACTTCCGTTTGTTCGAACACGCGTGAACAAACAATTCAGCCGCTGACCAAGGATAAATCCAATATGGCGGCGAAAGTGGCCGGAGCTGAGTCATCAAAAGAAGTTGAAGATTCCATTTCTCGTGGATCAATAGAAGTTTGTCGCCTTATGCATCCTGATGATGCCAACTTAGCAGGCAATGTTCATGGGGGCACGATTCTGAAGTTGATCGAGGAAGGAGGGTTCATAATAGCAACAAGGCATTGCAACAGGAATCGAACCAAAGACGAGCCCGTTCTGGCTGCTTTGGCACGTGTGGAAAGAACTGACTTTATACAACCGATGTTCATCGGTGAAGTTGCACAAGTTCACGTTCAGTTGGGCTACGCATCGAAGCGATCATTAGAAGTTAAAGCCAGTGTCTGGGCAGAAAATGTTCTAACCGGAAGTCGCAGATTGACCAATCGCGCCTCTCTTTGGTATGTTCCAATCGTAATGGGGTCAGATGTTCGAATTATTCCTGAGGTTCCCTCGTTGGAGTACTCCAGCAAAGATGAGGAGGAAAAAGGCAAAGAGCGATACGAACTACAGAAGAGAGCCAGGCTTGATAAGGAGGAACATTTCCAAGAGGTACTTGTAAGGCGGTAAAGTGATGGGCCTTCCATTTAACCTTTATACTTAGGATCTAATTTCCTTTCAAGCTGCAAGATATATTCCATAAAATACATTGAGATAATTTGGTGTTGAATGAAGATAACACCCTAAGCCGATAAGTTTGTCTTTACCATCACCTGTTCCATGACACTCCATTTTGTATTCCTGTGTTCAGTATTTAAGTATTAGTGAATTTGTCTTTAAAGGTGAAGAAAAAAATATATTTAAAAATAAAAATAAACGATTATGTTAGCAGTTTTGTTGTGGTTTATTATTGGCCCATAGCAAGCTTTAGTTGGACTGTGTAACCAAACCCACATTTTTACACAATTTAAGGATAAAGTTCTTTTTTGGATGTTACATTTTTTCCTGCCTGTATACCTTAAAGTACATTTTATCTTTGCAGAATCCCCCAAGCAACAATGTGGTTTCCCCATTAGTTCACCCAGCTGGAAAGAATGTGTCACGTTATAGTGTGTTGAATTCAGAATCATCATTGATCCATTCAGTACAGCCATCAGAGTGTACAAAAGCTGGATTTGTTCTTGGAGGAGTGACCATGAAAATGATGGATGAGGTGGCAGGAATTGTGGCATTTAGACATTGTAAAACTAATGTGGTCACTGCATCCATCGGTGGGTTTACTTTTCTTAGAGAAAATATCATTTACATCTGAAATCTTAACTGAACAATTTAGAGCATTGATAGTCATGTGCTCTAATTTACAGCAGTTTGAGATTTCATGAAAGTGGATTCCAAAGTACATGTATATTGTCTCCACATGCACATTTTTATATAACAGTTTATCCTATTTGTTACCTCTGGAAATATCACCTGCATCATTTGTGACTTTGTTGATAACTTCTGCTAAGGTAGTCAAAATGTCACTCACCACAATTTACAACAGTCCTTCTCAGGACATCTTTCTTCCTGATGATCAAACTACCTACCTGTTTTCTTGACTATTTTGTTCCTTTTCTCATGGGAAAAAGGCAACTGTTCTTTATTTAGGAATACACTTTTGCTATGGGTAGTTTTCTTATAACCCTTTAACTCCCAGATCAAATTTGTCATTCTCCTTACTGTCAACTATATAATTCATACAATGTTAGTTCAGAGAATTTAGTATTGGATCAACTAATTATTTGCAAATTTATATATTTCTTTACTCTCATCACTTATCTGGTTGATATTGTATTGATATTGTCAGGAGAAATTCTGTCTTGGTCACTCATGAGAGTTAAAGGGTGAAGTTTTATCCTAGTTTTGATGAATTGGTGAGAGGACTTTGTGTTCCCCAATTTTGCTCCAGTCATAGTGAGAAATTGGACTCCATCAGTAATCAAAATTAATGGTTACTAGACTTGGTCATACTGTAGTTGAGAATAAAGTAAACAATTCTTTCTTTAGACTTGAATTTTACATTTTTTCTTAGTCTGCCCAAAGAGTTTGATAATAGCAACTTAAGAGAGCTTGCATGCGCACTGGACCTAACAATGTCAATAATCTCAAATTTCCTAATAGTCACTCGTTCTCTACTTTTTCAATTACTGTGTTTGTCATTCCAGATGCCATTGACTTCCATGCCCCTGTCAAGCTTGGTCATATTATACATATTACTGGCCGAGCAACGTTCACTAGTGCCAAGTCAATGGAGATAGAGGTTGTTGTATATGCCAAGGACTATCATACAGGTGCAGTATTTAGTAACAGTTTCCTGCTCTTCTAATCAACTTTCTGCTAGTAATCCTCATATGGGGTACTTTGTAATTGATTATTGTAAAAATAAAACCATTATTATCATAAAAGACATTCAACATAAAGGTTGATATAAGTCAGTCAGTCAGTCAGTATTTTTACCTCATGGGATGACATCAGTCATAATATAAGATTCAGAGTTTAAGTGTGGACCTGAAATTCACTCACTTGCTCACTCACTTCTGATCTATTGAACAATATATGCATTTAATGTGGATTAAACACATCATCTCCTGCCTCCCCTTCTAGGTTTGGTCCCATTCCCAAAGTTGTGCCATTCTGTTCTGTTCATATTTATGGGGGTGGGACAAAAGCAGAAATTTTCACAACTGGCATCTTAAAGCAGAAAAAATTAAAAAATCCTTCACTCACATTGCAGTGCATGACAATTTGACTCCTTAAAAATTGTCTGTGTTTACTGAGAAATTTATAGCATGATTGACAATTTCATGGATTTTCAATGACCTGTGTTGTTCCTTAACTTAAGAGTTTGGATCTTATTGAAAACTGCTGTAATGTCCTATTTGTTTAACTTATATGTTCTTGTGACACACAGATGACAGCATAAGAGCTTGCAGTGCATACTTCACATTTGTGTCCCTTGATGAAAAAAGAAGACCCCAAGCTATTCCCTTTTTGGAACTTCACACTGAGGAGGAGGCAAGACGTTTTGAGGCAGGCAATAAAAGATATCAAAAACGTAAAGAGAGGAGAGAAGGTCAAAGCTGAATGATGGGCTTTGGGGGACATGTAATCAAACAGGGCCATGATTAGTTTGGTTTTAGCTGTGGTTCATGTAGTTATTGCAAGAATCAGTACATGCTTGCATTTATTACACATAGGTGTGTGTAGTGGCACTCAGTTGGCATGTACTGTGCATGCATTGCTTAGGATTTGCACATACATAAAGTGCGTGTAAGGCTGTTTGTAGTAGTAGAAACAGCTTTGCGAAGGCTGTGGGTTATAAAATAAAGATTTTCAGGACACCAGATATACAAGTATACAAGTATACCTGTGCAGAATTTAGACTAGGTTTCTCTAGAGTCAACAGAATTTAATTTAACAAGACACCTGTGAAAATGGTTTAATGTTTTAAGATATAATTTATTAACTGATATGTGATCATTAAACTAAGATAAATTTGTGTTAGAAAAGGACTTTTTATTTGTGAGTTTCGGAGAAACAGACTAAAATTTGTATTTTTAACTTACTAAACTTTTGAAGAACAGACCAAACTTAAATACTTAAAAAGTAATAACAATTACATTGCATTGTTTACCTGATTACATGTAGCTGTATATAGTTTAAGGTAACATTTTGTAATGAGTAATATTACTGGTTGTATTTTTCATTTTTATGAAATATTTAAATAAATATTTATGGTCTTGTTCGCAGTTTGAATCTGTGTACATACATGTCAGCACAAGTAGATTCCTCCACTTTGTGTCTCATGGCTGTCTCCTAAAGAGATTTTCAATTTGAGGTTTTATTTTGGTCTTGATGTCAGTCTACCATCTCTCAGTCTGACACTCAGTACTTTGGCGGTTGTCAGTTAATCAGTCAGTCAGTGTATTGGCTGGTTGGTAGGTTGGCTAGTCATTCAGTTAGCCTGTTAGAGGGACTATCCTTCTCCCTGCCTGTCTGTTTGTCTGTCCACCATTTCTCTGTCTGTCTATCGGTCACTTATGCAGTGCTTTGGCAGTTGGTCAGATAAGTAGTCAATCATTGTGTTGGCTGGTCAGTAGGGTTGGCCAGTCATTCTGTTAGCCTGTCAGTGGGTTGGTGGGGCTGTCCCTCTCCTTGTCTGTCTGTCTGCCTATCCATCTCTCTGTCTGTCTATCAGTCATTCACTCAGTCCTTTGGCAGTTGGTCTGTTAATCAGTCAATCAGTGTGTTGGCTGATCAATCGGTTGGCCAGCCTGTTAGTGGGTGGGTGGGGCTGTCCCTCTCCCTGTCTGTCTGTCTGTCTGTCTGTCTGTCTTTGTATCAATGTCTGTAACACTGACTAGCTAATAAACATGTCTTTATGGACTGTCGTTATGTGACTCGTACTAATTGCAACTACAACTGATACACGTTCAGTAAACACACAAATGACCCCTCTGATGAGTCTCCTTCCCTTGTACCTCACACTTATATTTGAAAGCCTATATTAGTTCATTCTGATTACGGAAGGTTTATCATCCATACATTTGCATACTGAGTACAGTTTTAATTCAGGCCGGGAGACAGTTCAGAATAAAATTTATGATTCAATATTTTGGTTCTCAGTGGGTTTTCGATAAGACTCCTTCCACTACTTGAATAAACCCCCTTTTCTATATCTAAGGGTAAAGGCTTATGTGGTACCGGTCATATGACATGTGATTTTAACTCTACACCCGATAAGTTTCTACCAAATATGTTTTGCGATTCGAATGCGTCTGGTATACATAGAAACCAGTATTTCCAAATCGCTTTTTTTCAGTTTCCTGATCACTCTCTTTTCAGTAAATTATCAAGCTCCTAAACTCAGTCACCTTGAATTTTCTCACTGAAAATTATTTAAAGGTGCTCTGTAATCTCCCTTTCCAAGTGATTTGATACGTAACGTTTTCCAGTATTTGAAGCGAGCCAGAAGCTTCCTCGTTTCAGAGTTCAGCTCATTCCTAGCACTCAAGACTAG